CAATGAAAATAACCACCCTTAGCATTCCACGTAAAAGCACCCCAAAATAACAGTGCTCCTCAGGGGAGGAGTAGGAGGAAGGGGACAATTAGTAAATCAGACTGAGAATAATAATTCTGAGAATGTACCTGCAGTTCCCAGGAAAAACAAAGTCCAGATGAGATCCTTAGTTTGCAGCATTGTAATCTGCTGGCCGGGAGGGATGTTCTTGCCGCGGTAAATTCTGTGCCCCCTCCTTGCAGCGAGTGTGGACGGCGGCAGAGCAACAGACCGAGGGGCAGACAATTGCCAGGCTGAGTATGATTATTTTTGCAGAATTGTTTCCTGCCAGCGGCTGCCGAGCTGCGTTCACGCGCTGATCGGAGAATGAGTGACAGTCCCAGCCTCAGCACACTCGCAACTCGGAGATCCTTGCGCTGGCCCGGGTTCGCTTTGATGGAACTGGGGATGGGAGCGGGGGGCGGGGGGCGGGGGTGAGAACCTCACTGTGTCCTTCCACCACGCCGGCCACAAATAGTGCCGAACATCAAGGAGGTAAGAGAGACAGGAGAGGCAGATGCGGTCGCCTGCAAAACGCGGCCTGGAGCCGCCGGAGGAGTCGGGCTCGTTCACACGCAGTCTTCCAGGCAGAACTGGGATCTTTTCACCCTTCTCCCCTGCGCCTCCGCGGTCCTTGCTGCCATCCAGCCTTCCTAAATCAGGAGTTGGATACTTTAATGACTAGCAAATATAAAAATAAAATCTTAGATTTGGGTAGGGTTTCAAAGTATTGAATCCTCCATTTAGATTCTAAGATCCTTGAAACATAAGGATAACCTAGGACTTAATTTTTTTTTAAGTGCAGGAAATTAGAAATTTGGAGAGAGATGGGGGTTGCGGGATTTTGTTTTGGTTTTGTTTGTTTGTTTGTTTTATTCTGTCTGTGAAGTTTGCTCTCCCCCACAGAGAGGCAACAGCTCTCAGGGGAAGGAGGTGGGAAGCAACTTAAGTTAGAAGAAAACAAAGATGTTTTAGAAGGGATTTCCAGAAA